ACATATCAGCCTGTTCTTCTGAACGACTGGGTTTTTTCCAGACGAATACAAAATAACTGAAGCATTTTAATGCAGCCCTCGTCAATTCTAATTTTTTAATGATTAAACAAACCCTGGAATGTATAAACCCAACCACTGTGGTTTTTCAAACCATGGTATGTGGGTCAGGGTTACACACAGACTTCACCCAATCGGCTGTGTAAACTGATCTCTGCTGTTGCATTATTCCTGTTTTATATACCTCTTTCCATGCACATGATGGATTATTCTCCAATATATTATGGATGATACAAGGAATAAATTATCCAGGTCGAAGTTCTTTGTTCACTTCAGTTCCACCCATTTAGTCTTCTTTTAAAAAGCAATAAACAGTCCATAAAGCCACTGTTTCAAAATTGTTTTCTAGAAATAGAAAAGGACACGCTAATAGCTCAGCGCACACAATACCGCAACTTTAATTTAGGGAGATGTTTGTTTTATTGGCCCCTAAATAGCAACCTAATTTCCAAGTTAGGTTTGAATCAGATTCCGGCGAAAAGTGGATTTCGTGGGTGATTCACTCAGCGGCATCGTTTGCATTGCCCAACGTTGACCCGGCGGGAAAAAAAGCTAAAATATTAATAAAGGAGAATTGAAAGGCATTCCTTGTAATTTCATCAGAGCAGAAACAGAAGCTCGAGGTGGCCCAGGATTTTGCTAACTCCAGGTTTTAGAACGCATATTTGCAAGGAAGCCTGCAGCGCTCAGGGAGTTCACATGTGTTGCAATCCTAAATACACTGATTTTGAAATAAATACCACTGTTTGTGTCTTTTTCCACCCTTCTGAGTCACTCAGCACACCTAAGAGGAAAGGGAGACTCTGATTTAATTCAGCCATCCATGAGAGAGAAGATCGTTCTCTAAATCTTGCAAAGTTTGAAAGCAACTCCCGTTGTAAGTAGAAGATATTTTGAACAATCATAGCAGGTGCGTTTTTGTAGAGGGGAGTAATTCCCAATCTCTCATGTATTTTTATGCTGATTTTTAGTGAGGTATTATTATAATTTTAAATTCCTGCAGAGGTAGCAGCGGCTGGCAGGCTATGTTTGGCTCAGAAGCGAAGTAGGATTGGACCTAATTCATCCTTGGATGGGGTGGTCTGTACATTAGACTGAGAAGAAGGAGAGGGAGGAAGAGAGGGAAGAGGAGAGAGAGGAGGAGGAAGAGAAAAAGAAGGGGAAGGAGACGGGAGAAGG